GAGAGGGAGAGAGAGAGAGAGAGAGAGAGAGAGAGAGAGAGAGAGAGAGAGACTCGTGTATTCGATTACGAAAGAATGTAATGGATAAACCTTTCCAAAATTTTACTTGACAAAAAGTAACCAATAAAATTATGAAGCATTGTACATCAAGTAACAATATCGTTATTAATCATATTAAAATTTACAATAAAATTAGAATTAAAGCTTTCTCATTAATTTGCAAAGTTCCGATGTAAATACTGTCAAAAGAAGCACTTACCTGTCGTTGAATGGATTTGGAGTAGTAGTCCGATTAGTGATACCAAGAGGAAGGTTCTATACGGGGATACCGTGATATCCTGCCGCAAGGCCGTCATCTCAGGCGGCCCGCGCCAGGTGCTCTTCCGACGTGCCGCTATCCCTGCGGTGAATCTCACCTCAGCTTTCTTAACTTCCGCCTTCGTTCCCGCCAGGTCTGCAACGTGCCGACTTCGTGCTTCACATTTCATCTGCCTGTGCCGATTCTTATCCAATTCGGATCTTCGTTTTCACCATTTAAACTGTAGCGGAAGATCGTGAGTCTCAATATCAGTTTACTATTTTCTCTGATTGTTCACGAAATTTATGTCATAAATTTTGTTTTTTTTTTGTATCGGGTACGTGCTTTTATCAAAACTATATTGGAATGTTTGAAAGTGGAAATTATTTTTTCGAGTCAAGTTTGAAACGATCTTTGTATTTGAATAAGAACTAAATTTTATCTCACGCTGTCACCATAATTTTATACATATGTTTTATCATAAATACAAATAATACTTAAATAGAATTAATTTTTTTAAATAGACGCGCTCTCTATGAAAATTAAAATAAATTATGATACGTGTCACTTTATATCGCGACTTATGTTAAATAAGTGCCATCTTTTTACATGTTACATATATTTTTTTCTAAATTGGTGTTATTATTTTTCTGTTTTTGATCGATATTTTTTATCTTAAATTGAAAAATTTGATGCTACTATTCTTTTTTATATATCTCTCTCGTAACCATCTAACAAAGGCGAGTTTCTATTAGTTATTTAGATTTTACATATGCTTATGTTTTTAACGCACAATATTGTTATATAGTGTCAATTTAAGTTGAAATATTTATATTGAATACTTTGATCTATATTCATCGACATCCATAAGTTTTTGTTGTTTATTAAAACGTCACAAAACTTTGCGATTTCTGTTTTCTTGCAAATTTTTTGTTATTTCAAGATTATATATTTTATTTGTACGAATAATAACAAGATTTTTTCGGATGATTTATTTATAACTATGTATGTCAGATTTCAAGTAAATATATCTCATTGAATCACGTAAGATTTTCTACGCGATTCTGGAATTATGATGATTACGTATCGGAAGAATATCCACGAGGACGTGTGAATACGGATCGATTCAAACACCTGTGGATGGTTGAAAGTTTCGCGTTAAGCGTAATGACGGTATCGTTTGTGTATTATATTTGCTCATAACTTTTTGCAAATATTCATTTTCTTGTATGATTCATCAATCAAAACACGACACTTGAAACCACCAGTCGCTAATTATCGCGACACGTGGTGTACGCGCGCTTTACAAAACAAAATGCACATTGCACAAACAGCGATTTTCAAGGATTCTTGGGCGCCTTTCACGCTCGACAGTTTCTTTTTTTACAGTCAATTTCATAAATTTTCCGAGAATACACACGGATAGATTTTGTGCAATTTACCTCAGCATTCTCAGCGTCGATAGATATTGTTTTTTCTTAGCTATCCACGATTTTTGATGACGTGCTTGTTAGATTTACGACATAACTGTCGATTTTCCACGAGTTTACTTCGCGGCGCGATGTCTAAATTTATCAGTCAATACTAAGCACGCGAAAGATTGCTGGACAGACTAAGAGAAGTACTCGACAGTTAGTAGTCGGTAGCCAGCAACAGCAGCAGCAGCAGCAGCAGCAGCAGCACAAAGCGAAACGTTTCGCTGTATGCCGAGCGAAGCTCTGCAAAAGCAGTCTGCACACGCGGCCGCGCTGTGTTGTATCATCCCCACTTCTCTTCTTCGAGCGTACGATTGCGGCGATGACGATAGTGGCGATGGTGGTGGTGGCGGTGGCGACGGTAGTGGTAGCGGTGATGGTGACGGTGGCGGTAGTGACGGTGGTAGTGGTGGTGGTGACGGTGGTGACGGTGGTGCCGGCGGCGGCGGCGGCGGCGGCAGCGGCGATGGCGGCAATGGCTGTGGCGGAGGTGGTGGCGGCGGCGGTGGCGGCGGTGGCTGTG